GAGCGTTTGAATAGGAGTTGACAGCCACATTCAGCGTGATGACTTGGTAGTAGAGCGCCACAGAATGGATGACATTGTAAATCAGTGCAAGTCCGAACATGCCCAGCGGAAGAAGCACCTTGGACCGACCGGAGCTATTTCTAGACAATGTTTCGGAGCTGAAAAGACACTCAAATATGTCCTGACCAAGCGCTGAAAGGAGGCGATCCCCGACCTGGCTAGATTAGCGACAATTTCTCCAATGCTAAAAAGGAACTTACCTCGAGGACGTTGTAGATGACATAGAGCTTGATGCCATCCTGTGCTCGAATGAAGTGATACATTCGGCTAGCGTCCAGCTTCATGAGGAATAGCGAGCTGAAAAGAATTACGGCGCCTTGTAAGAGATCCGCCTTGTGGAAGGAAGACAGATTAGAGGGTATCGATTTCGTCCTACGATGTCGATGCACTCTAGAGGCAGAAGGGTGTGGAGGGTGATGGCTCGAAGGTCCATTCATCTTATGAGTGATATGCCCGTTCCCATTCAATCTGACCTCATGTTCAATGACTCCATTGCCGTTCGCTTTGACATCTGAGTCGACATGGACAGCTGGGATGTTGTCAGGGAACCTCATATCCGTGGCTGGGGTAGATGATCTGCGCCCCGGCGGCCGACTCTGGCTTCTGTCGCGGCTGACAAGGTGGTCGTTGTCTCCTTTTTGAGCGGACAGCGCACTTCTTGCCCTAGGTCTCCGTGCTCTGGCCCATACTCTGCCCAGCCCGTACCAAACGAAACCAACCATGAACCGTGCCTCCTTGATAGCCATATAGCCCCACCATCTGAACAATACCCCGAGGGCAATGGTAAATCTCATGGGCAGGATCGTAAAGTTATAGAGCCAGGCATCGAGACATGCCAGAGCTCCGAAATAGAGCGTTCTCTCCAGAAACGTCGGCAGTAGTAGAACATTTTTGAGTCTTTCCCATTTGACGACGTAGGACTCATAGGGTATGTCGTTGGTGTGCGAGTGGTGTATGTACAGAGGGCTCGGTCGTTGGGCTGCTAGTTCCAACTGAAGGTGCGTGGGTATAGACATAGGCGGGAGGGGTATCGAAGGAGGGAGGGGCGATGGCGGAAAAGGGTCATTTCGCTGTGACTTTGTTGGCGGCGGTACTTGGAGCTGCGGTGGTGGTTGTTTGTTCAGACTTGTCGGCAGAGGGTTGATTGCGTTGAAGTGGCTGGTGGCATCAAGGTTGAGAGGCGGTGGCCTGGCAACAGAGTAGAAGGAATTTCGGCGGGGCGACGTGGTTTGTGACTGTGATTGTCGTCGATTCGTGGGAGGCGTCGAGAGCGTTCTGCCTGAGACAGGTCGTCTTGGCTCGTCTTGATATCGCGACCTATTCCCGCCGTCCGTCACGGGGCCGTTTCGTCGCAGAGAGTCGGGCTGACTGAGTATCGACTGTCGAATTGCCTCGAGCTGATCTGCGAGAGGAGAGCGAACCAGCTGTTCTTGACCGTCAGGGGTTTGGTCGGGAACTACTGCGACAGGGAGAGCTTCGGGGGCGGTGAGTTGTTGTATCCCTGCGACAGATAATCTCCTAACATTATCGTGGCTTTGATTCTTCTTCATGGATGCGGAGCTCGATCCGGCCCTGGCCCTTGACTTTGGTGCCACGTCGTCCTTATTCTCAGCCTCCTTCTTCTCGGTAGCAGTCGCAGGCTCGGACGTGGACGAAGAGTTGGACGATTCTTGCTTCTCGGGCTTACTATGCGTGGATGAGGCATCAGAAGACTGTTCCTCATCGGAGTGGCCACCGGGAATGGTAGGGAGGGTCGAGGTAGGGGGTGCGCTCGCGGACACGTTTGGTAAGGGAGGGAGAGGTATGTGCGACACTTTGATATCGTTCTCGGCCTTCGGAATGCCCTCGTCGTACGCCGCATTTTCGGGAGCGAAAGTAGGCATGGGCGGGAACGCCTCGACCGGGTCTATGGGCAAGACATCGGGGCGTGCAGAAGTCTCGTCATGGTTGTAATGGTTGTCGTCGTCGGCCCCTCGATCATTGTGGTGTTCGCTCGCCGCCATTCCCAAACCCTTCACTGTCTTTTTTGGATGGGAGGTATCGCCGCCATTCGCACACGGATATGGAGGCTGTGATTGGTACCGTGGAACGCAAAGGACTCTATGAATTGCAGATTGGAAGAAAACGTAATGCGCCAGGGTTATCTAGGCACGTTTTGCGATAGCATCTGGCGCAGCGAGTGGTTCAAGCAATTAGCTCTGCAGTCTGCAGTTCTTCAGGTCGCGTGGGGGGGAAATGTTGCCGAGCGGGCGATCTCCAGGAACGGCTGGATTGGCGACCGGACAGGGAAACCTGGCGGCACAGCGCGGCAGAAGACAATGAGACCGCTGTGGAGACGCTAAACTGTGTCTCTAAACGCCATGGTCCAGTGGACTCGGGACGGAGACGGAGGGGAGGCATCACGGCAGTGACGTACTGGGATGGGACGTGCGCTCGCTTTCGATTTGCGGTGAGTTTTTGGGATCGAAGGTGTGACTGAACCATCTGTCGCAAGGTGTGTTCACCGAAGTATCAGTATTATTCTCTGAGGTTATTCACCACTCGGCTACTCTATCAAGTTATCCAACTATACATTCAGAGTCCCAAAATTCTGCCGAGATGATTCTTCATGGATCCGAGGTTCTCCAGCGCCTACAAGATTGTCGATATTGTATATGTCCAGTAAAACATGCAAACGACCTTCATCTCGGGTCGTCACCAGAAGAGACGCCTTTCACGACAAGAATATGATGGATCTGACTGGGACTTCTGGCCATTAAAGGGATATTTGGTGCGAAAATCAGTTGCTAGATTTCTCAATGTGCCGAGGGAAGAGACTGAGGTAAGGTATCCGTAAATTGCGATGTTCGGGTTTAACCCCGGCCGTTGAAGACATCAGGTGTCGGGCCGCACACCGAATCGGCAAATCACCCTAAGAAAGACGAGGGCGATTTCCCGACCATGGCATACACCACCCGCACCTGTCGGGCCCAAATCACTTTGCGCCGGGACCATTTACCGGCACTGTTCTGTGTCCATGATAGTCCGATTCTGTGAAAAGTATGAGAAGAAGACCAAGACCAGAATCAAGGTACCAGGACGTTCCACCACCTTAATTCCGCTACTGCCGCCGCTCAGATTGCCGTTTCGGAACCGCACCGCTCGACTCCTTGGATTCCAAAACTCCATGGACTAGCAAGACTAGGAGCACGACGGGAGGGCATTCGGCTTATGTCCAGCTAAAAACCGAGACACCGCAGCTCGGCGAAGTGGGGGCTGAGAGAGACCGGCACCGGTGCCCGAAAGAGTTTGTGTTTTCATCAGGGTGGCATTTTGTCTCATCGAGAGGGGGGGGGGGGCACAGCGTCCGAGTTACCAGTTGAATCTTCCTCTTGATGGATCGGAACGGATCTCGGCCCACCCAAAGTAAGGAAAGGAGGTACGAGTAGTCTCCGTTTTGGAGATCCAGTTGCTTGGGTGCTTGGTAATTCCTCACGTCAACGGGCCCAACTTGTCCAAACCCCCCCCGGCGCTGAACATCCGTGGGCCCCTCCAAGGTCAATGACGCCCCTCCCACGTCCTGCTTGAGCTTCAGACTCTATAAGGTCGATGGGGCCCTCTTCTTCGTCCGACCCTGCTACCCGTTCCTCCCGTCCTCTGTGATATCGTCTTCTTACAAACATCAAGTACTTACACTTGTAAACTCAAGAAAATCAACAGTCAACATGGCATCCAACCCTCCCGGACAATGCTGCACCGTCGGTGTCAAGCACGAGTAAGACACCCCAAGATCCCATTGAGCGACACACACTGCGTAAAGAGCTACCCCGCCCCCCACTCTTCCAAAGCTTGATTGAGTGAATCCTGCCTGCACCTGTCACCGAGAAACCCGTTCCAAAGTCCCAAACAGCAGCCTTATGGCATGTCTGTCGGCTGATGTGATACGCCAATCTCTCAATCACTCGCACAATAAGAGTTCTCGCTAATCGCTTTCCGGCCAACATAGAGGCACTCCTCAGGGCAAGAAGATCACCGTCGCCGGCAAGTATGAGGGCTACCTCGCCGAGGCTCCTGCCGACAAGGCACACAAGAACACCGGTCTTCTCTACGTTGCCGACGTCTTTGGCATCTGGAATAACTCCCAGCTGCTTGCCGATCAGTTCGCTGCTAATGGCTACACCACCTTGATCGTTGACCTCTTCAACAAGGACCAGCTTTCTGTCCCCATGCCTGCTGGCTTTGACGTTATGAAGTGGATCGCCGAGGGCAGCGATGGCAAGAACCCCCATAACAAGGAGGCCATCGACCCCATCATTGTCGACTCCCTCAAGTACATGCAGACCGAGCTCGGTCTCACCAACATCGGTGGTCTCGGCTACTGCTTTGGCGCCAAGGTATGTTTTCTCCCCTACCCTCCCTGTTCTGTAGCTGCTACGACCGCCGGTTTCTGACATGATCACTTGACAGTACGTTGTCCGCCACTACAAGGACGGCATCAAGGTCGGCTTCGTGGCACACCCTAGCTTCGTCGACGAGGACGAGCTCGCCGCCATCACCGGCCCCTTCTCCATCGCCGCCGCCGAAACGGACAGCATCTTCCCCGCCGAAAAGCGTCACAAGTCCGAGGAGATTCTGCAAAAGACCGGCCTGGCATACCAGATCAACTTGTACTCTGGCGTCGAGCACGGCTTTGCTGTCCGCTGCGACGTGAGCAAGAAGGTTCAAAAGTATGCAAAGGAGCAAGCCTTTTACCAAGCTGTCGCTTGGTTCGATGAGCACCTTTTGTGACTAGCGGTTAGCCTTGAGGGAGAAGCCAAATTATGAATGATGGGCGCCGCAGCTGATACCAGAACGATGGGCGGGTTTAAGAATACCAATTGATTATTGCGCGATATGATGTCGTTCCCCACCTTGATATCTCGGTCTCCTGATTGCTCTTAAGCTCTTAAACAACGACCGCATCAAGCCCTCTCGGCCCAGTCTCGCTTGATAAAGTCGGCACATCGCTCTGCCACCATATAAGTTGGCGCTACGGTGTGAGCACTCGTCACCTTTGGGAAAACGCTTGCATCAGCAACGCGCAAGTTTCGGAACCCGTGGACCTTCAAATTCTGGCCGACTACACCTTTATCGACCACGGTACCCATGCGGCACGTTGAAGTTGCGTGGTAGATGTTGACCAAACGCTCCCTGATGTAAGCGTCAATCTGTTCATCCGTCACATCCCGCCACCCACCTTCGACCGTACCGGCCTTGACTCCGGGGGCGAGATGCCAGGTAGCGTTGAAGGGGTACTGTGTCTGACGGAAGCGCTCCACAAAGCTCATCGAGAAACGAGCGGCCTTGCGCGCTGCCGCCCAGTCGCGGGGATCTGTGATGTAGTGATGGAACACTTTGGGATGCGCCAGAGGATCTGAAGACGCGAGCTCGATTCTACCCCTAGAGAATGGCTGCACTAGTGTTGTCTGGAATGCGCAGTACCCCTTGCCCTTCTCATAGTCATACGAAGCATTGGTGAACAGGAGCTCAATATCAGGTACGTTCTCAGGCCTTAGCGCATCCGTGTTGTCGTGTTTCTCATCGATGCCATTTCCGTGGTGTCTCACAGTCATTGTGGTCTCGTCAACGGTGCTTGTGTGAAACCAAGCACACAATCTGGTTCCAGAAGTCGCCAATAAGCCAGTCTTGAAGAAGAGAAAGAGGACGAAGTGCCAAATGCCAATAAGTGGACTGAACAACCGGAGATATGAATCGATGAGACGGGTGCGGAAGGCGATGCCGAAAGTTATGTGATCTTGAAGGTCAGCACCAACTCCCGGCATATCTCGCACGAGTGGGATGTTGTGTTTTTCAAGATGTTTCTTTGGTCCTATGCCGCTGCGAAGAGTCAGCGACGATCGAACGTGCTGGAGGGTCTCAGAGAAACGATACCTCAACATCAGAAGCTGCGGTGAGAAGTGAGTTCCACAACAAACGATGACCTCTCTCTCGGCCTTCACGAAGCATTGCCTGGCAGGGCTCTTGTCAAGATGATCCAAAATGTGAACACCCGTTACTTCTGTCCCATCGTCGTTGGTCTGAAGCTTTGTGGCTACAACACCAGTGCAGAGTGTGAGTCTCTCCCTTCGCTCATCAACCGTCGACTTTGGAAGGTAAGCTGCCAATGAAGAATGACGATAGCCAAACTTGTCTATCATGATGTCGGTCGTGAAGAGGCCCATGGCCGGGGCATTTGGGTTATTGCCATCATTCTGGACAGGGAGGTTCATGTCGCCTGCAGCTTTTTGGATGCTGTTCGAGGCACAAGTTAGCAAGGATTTGGGGAATGCGTTCACTACAACACACTATTGGTCTATCGGGAAGTTCAAGGGATTCTGTCGAAGGTAGAGCGGCCCTATCTTAAGTCAGCTCGATCTTGAGAGGAAGAATTGGATGATACCAAATACCTTCATGACCGCGGTAGGGAGCATCGGGGTGGCAAGCAGCGTTCTCAATCTTCTTGAAGTATGGCTCGCACTTATCCCAGCTCCATTCATCATTACCAAGCGCAGCCCATTGGTTGTAGTTACCCGGCGCGCCGCGCGTGAGCATCAGCCCGTTGACTCTGGTGGCGCCGCCGAGTGCTTGAGTATTGAATGTCCGAGTCTTGCACCCCGTCCATCGCTCGTCGGGCTCAGACCAGAATGTCTCGATCTGAGGACCCTTGCCGTCGCTCGCATTGCCAACGATAGGAATACGATCAAGCCAATTGTCCTTCACCTTGCCTTTGCAGACAACGAGGACGCTGGTGCTTGGGTCTTCGCTCAGTCGGGAGGCGAGGGCGCATGCTGCTGTACCGCCTGCGTAATGTCAACTTGGGGGGACTTGGCCTCCTCGCCAACAACGACACCTACCGCCTACGATAACATAGTCAAAGGTTTTCCCGTCGACGTCAACCGCTTTGCGCTCCGGATAAGAACGAGAAAATAGCCAGGCCATGGTTACCTGATTGAAAGAAGCGTTATGGGACGATTTGGAAAACGGACTGGACTGTCCTGACGAGCAAGAGACCTCATTCAAACTATCTACTCCAAGTAGTATCTTGGGGGCTGCTGTCAGATGAGGGGTTCTTTCTTGAATTTTCGAAGGATCATCACTCGTCTCAAAGCCATAGACTAGTCTTACACCAAAGATCAATCGCAATCTACAGGAACGCCAGAAAGTGCGATCCCTCCAATCGCTGGCTGATCCTTCGCCGGCTAAGGCAACCCAGGCACTTGTTTAAACCTTGGCTTCCGTTACCTACTCACACGGCAGTCCCGGAAACTAATGTTAGAAGAAAGAACAAGAGGATATCTAGAGGACAAGAGCCTTGAGACCTTTTCATCATGGGCGATATTTCTATGAGAATCCCTCTTCATTCATTTGCGGCCCCCAGTGTAACCCGGATCTGTGGCATCTCAGCATCAGCTCACCGCCAGCAATACTTTCATGCCAACCGACTTTGCATGCTGTAGCACACCAATGTCGGCCAACTATCATCAGAGAAAGACCAATACCGATCGGCAGGCCGCAGAAACGGCCAAGAATGCGTGCGAGTCGAACGGTCGACGTTCAACAGCAATGAAACCTGGCTGCTTGTCGATTGACATCGGAAGCACTCAATGGTGCCCCACTGCCTCCACTACCTAAGGTACTTTTCTGTGTATGTCTTGTCACTAAGGTAACAATGAGACGCTCAAATAACCTGAGGTAAGGATGAGTTCGGATACCTAACAGGGTGTTACGAGGATCAGATGGAAACTCCCATTGACTTTGAATTGACTCGTCTAGGTATTCGATTAAGGTACCTTACTGGATATTGGCGGGGAAGAGGGAAAATAAGCACTGAAAACAGGGCACGACTCGTCTTTTTCGTGCCTGCCGTTTCTCATCCTGGGGTTCCTGCCTTACTGTGTAGGCGGAGGTGGTCTTTCCTTCCATTTGCACCGACCTGTGGTTCGAAGTTCGAACGGCGGCCCGCTCCTAGCCCCAGTGATGGGAGGAAGGCGCAAGACGCGAGCTTAGCCACGCTGTTCGTACTCTTTTCGAATGTCTGCACTGCACTGCACTGCACTGCCCCTAGAATGGACGATAGCCACCTAAGCTTCATCAGTCGATGATTTCCCCCTCCCACAACGACGTCGCCCATCTTCCACGTCAACATACATCGCATCGCCTTGCCTTACATCTGCATCTCCATCAACAACAGCGGAGCCACCACCGTCCTCGTCCCCCGAATCCCGCTGCCTGTTGCACAGCAAAGTAGCGCAGTATAAGCCACGAGCTAGCAACTGATAGGGCTATTGGGAAAGACATGGGTGTAAATGCTGACACAGGGGAGGGGTTGGGTTGGGAATGGGGCCAGGCCGGTATAAGCAGGCAGGCAATCAACGATTCCATGATTGGAGATGGCTGGTGAGACGAGCTGAAGCTGCTACGGAGTACCAAGTACTGGGGCGAGCATTCGCTTCTCGACACTGACCTGGCCTGGTCGCACATCCCATGGCATCCCACCTGCACTCTTCTTCCGTTTCCCGGTCGCGGCTGTGCCGCCATCGCGCGCTAGCCAAACGTGCAGCCTCGTCCTGTCTCGTCGAGATTCTTTTTCGACTTCGACTCGACACACGTCACGGCTCCCTTCTGCCGCGTTTCTCCTCCTGAGCTGACCCTACTTGTCTGCTCCAAACTCGGGTTGCCTCACGCCACCCATGGCTTCCTTCAATTTCATCAAATCTACCCCCATGACCGACGTAGACCGCTCCTGAGCACCTCGATACCACCCGCATCCGAGAGAGCACCAAGTCCCGAGCACCATTAGCTGTGCAGCTCCGAATAATCAATTCGCAAGGCTCGGTAAACAACGGCAAACAGAAGTCCATAACGAACCCATTGGTCCGAGACAATGGCCATGGAGGGCATGAGCGAAGCACAGTTCAACCAGACTCTTCAGCAGATTAACGACAATATCAACGACGACGACAAAGAATTGTTTGTTGCCATTGTCGCTCTCGTCATCTCCATCGTCGCCTTGCTTGCATCCCTCCTGCAGGTCGCACAACAATATTTCGCTTCCGCCGCTGGCTATTCAAGTTGTGGCAGCAAGGTGATAGGAAAATGGTCCGAATCCAAGCAGCGCAAAATCAAGTTCACCGAGTTCCGATTCGAGGTCCTTTTCGAAGCTCCCGTTATTTTCCTATGCCCTCCGACTAATAAGAAGGGCCCCGTCAAAGACGAGCCCATTATATTCATCGACGGCTCGGAAAAGAGCTTGCTGGACAGCCGGTCCGAACTTCAAGATCAGAAGGATGTTTCCGACAAGGAGCTTGCGAAACAGTCAGTCCATACGGCTGACAATGAGCGAGCTTCGTGGGTGGCGCTCCTCTCTGCCCTGCAAAAAATGGAACATGAATCTAGGGAATGGCAAGAAAGACAATATACCGAAAAAGTCTACCAAAAGCCACCCAAGGGATCTGACCAGCTCGAGAGCCAGGAAAACGTTGCCAGCGTCCTTAGAGAAGTCAGTGACAAGTATACTCTGACGGTCGCCATTCAGAAGAAGCGTAGGAGCTGGGATACGATGCCCACCAACGTCAAGAAGCCATACGCCACAACGACGTGGTGCCATATGGTCGAAATGCTGGCCATGCTCGGCGTTTACTGGGTCGAATTCAATAGGACCAACGATAGATACCGTGCAGAAGGCAATGGCTACACCATCACGGGGGAGAAGGTTAGCGATCTTGGTATCATGTTCACATTCCAGGTTTATGGGCGCAGTCGATTTGAGAACAACCGTGTTATACCCGTGGACGAGACCAAGGAGCTTTGTTTTGGCTTTCTCCCAACTATTTACCGGGCGACGTCGGACAATCGACGTTTGAAGTTTCCCAACGATGAGCCCCGCGACTTGTCGACCCTTAACTTCGCTAGTAACCATGAAATCGCTGAAACGCTGGTTTTGATCGGCTGTAATACCAATACCGTCAACTACTTTTCCACCACATCGACAGCCAGAGTTGGCCATTTGTTTCCTGGTAAGCTGAGGTCGTACAGTTCTTACTGTTTCCCAGCGCTGACATTTTCTTGGCAGTTGCTTTCGAGATCGTAGGCATGCTTGGACGTACACTCCACATTGAGAAAAGCGCATTCCGTTTACTTCCCAATCCTACTCACTATCGATGGGATACGAAAAACTTCTCCTTGACTAAACTGCTGGAAGCATACACCATGCAAATGAACAAACTCAAGTCGGATCAGCCAAGTCCTAGCCTTGTCGGCAGAGCTATTCGGAGGAATATCCGAAGAATTAACGGGCTGATCAAGACGCACACTGCCGCCTCCGGCAACTGGTTGAGCCTGCCCCTCATGGATGCTCTGCACGAGGCTCTTAACGACACCGATGAGATTTTGACGGCAAGGGCGAAGGTATCTCGGCCAACAGCGCCTCCACGGGTCGACTCGATGATGACCGCAAAGCCCTCTGTTTTTGAGGGCAACCCTGAAGGCGCAGTTGAGAGCGCACGACGTGAGATGGTTCAAGATGTGTTACGCAGTCATATTCAAGAGGTCCTAGGAGGGTTCAACGAGAAGCCGGAAAAGACGGCACCGAAACCTACAGGTAACGCCGCCACAATGGAAAACAGAGTGAGGAGCCAGCTTCGATTTGAGGATATCGATGCGGCACCACCAGAACTAAAGCAAGAGAAACTCATGGAGGTTTACTTCCGCTTGGTGCGGAGAAAGGTCATCGAAGTGTCTCGAGAATCGTCAGATAGGCGCGAGCAGCCTACTGTGGGCTTTGGCGGTCTCAAAAAACGGAACCAAACCAACTTCAGTACCCGGACTGTCGAGACAATAGACGATGAAGAACCAATACTGCTGCACGAGTTGGGCGAGGAGCACGTCACCCACGAGGATATCTGGTGCACTCTCGTTTTCCGGATGATTTGTTGGCTCATGCTACACGATTTCCACAAGAAAGATGTCCAGGTATCGAAGAGCGAACTTTTGGGCAGCCGCTTGCCGGTATATATCTCATAGTCGAAAGATATATCGAGGAGGACAACGATCTTTTCAAGCATTTTGGAAGAAAGAAATTGCATTAATAGGATATGGATGGATATGGACGGATTATGAGCATGAGAGCGAGTAGTTTGATGTCCCCCGAAAGCCCCAATTGGAGCTAGACATGAAACAACTTCGGTCTTCAGGGTAGCTTACGAATGATGACAATGACAATCAAACGATTATCTTAAAAATTAGAAATCTCCTGTGTGAGAAGACGGGAGTCTAGGCCCGTACGCTCTGGCTGAGAAGGGCTGGCGGCAGCAACGCTTATACCTGTCAGCGCTTCGTCAACTTGTCATGCGATTGATCCCCTGACCAAGGTCTGGGACAAGAGTCTGGAGGGTTGGCCTGGACAGAGCCAGCCGGCCGATGGGCTAGTGAATTCATGGAGAGGCAACCCGAGGCCCGGGAACGAGGATGGAGCCCGACTGAGGGATGCGGAGCCCGTCACTGGCTTGTCACCGAGGCTCCAAGCGACCTTTTTGCGATTCCAGAACTCTAGCACAGTACTCCATCAACGCCCAGCGGCCCAGAAAGTTCCCAAGCTGCAAAGCGATTGCAGTCCTCACATTCCAAGGTCCTCTGGGCGTACCGGTACTCATGGGACCGGGGACGCGCGAGAGCGCTAGGCCGGATGAGGGCGAACGGCGGCAAACAGGGGGAAAAGAACCTTGGTTCGGCAAGAGTGGAGAAGCCTACGATTGGGAGCCTGTATCCGTAAAGGAGCATGGTTCACCGAGGCTCTGGGAAGACGATACCCATGCTGCCGAATCGTGAAATGCTTCGAGGACTATTTGTTATCCTTTGGCTCAAAATACTAGCCGAGAGATACGTGGGATGAGCGTATGTGATGTGTATGGGGACCCAAGATTGAGACGAATGCTAATGGCACAGCACAGCGCCTTGACACTGTAGGGGCTCTTGATGTCACGTAGTGGAACCTGTAGTCCGCCAGAACGACTTCATCGACGCGTTCCGTATTCAATTCCTTGACGTTGGAAAGCAATGTTACGTGCGATGCTTCGGCTTCCCTGGGCGCACGCACGCTCAAGGTGAGGTGCTGCACTCACTCAATGCGAGAAGGATGCGCGGGGAAGGGCATTTGACTTTATCGGTGCATATTCAAGACGGAAGCAGACGGATGAGGCCAGTAGTTTGATGCAGGCCGCAGCTCACCATGGTTGTTGGTCTCTCTAGACGCCGGTTAGTGTGATGTCGTCCAATGCCTCGCAGCGCAGAAGACGCATCTGTGCGGCGGCTTTCAGGGCTGGGTACGAGCCAACGAGTCTCGCGAACGAGTGTGGTGTTTGCTGGTTATTTCATCCATGGTTGGCAGACATAGCTCAGACAATGGCTCTGTCGGTTCGTAAGTGGCTTGCTGCTGGCGTCCTTCTTCTCCCCGTTCTCGAGGCGTGTGTCAGCGGCTTTGCAACGGAATGTCTTGGGCGTTGGTCCCTTGATTAAGAGAGAAAAATGCGTCTATAGGGTGGTGACTCTGGCGAGAGTGCTGCGCGCTTGAAGCACTTCTCGGGGTTGGGGGTCCAATTGCATTCTCAAAACAGAATCGCGGTGTGGGAGGGCGGTATGAGACGAGACACTGCTTCACGGGCGACGACGGATAACGCGTTTACAGAGTCTGTATTACCAGAGGGTGCGTGAGTACTAGTTAGGTAGACGCGACTAGCCTATTCATGGCCCCCTTGGCGTGAGATCAGCGGATGATGGGCAGGCGAAGCAGTTTACATAGAACTTTGGGTACGGTAGGCGAATGTGCAACCCTGCGACGTGGTGGCAGCGTGCCACTGCCCAAGTTGACGCGAGAATTGGACGAGCCCAGCGTGAATGTCACTGGGGAACCTGGACCTGTGGCCGCCGTGACTGGCACGACTGGCATCTGCGAGAATGTGACTGGGGGCCATGGTGAGTGCAGTGCAGGGAAGGGAAGGGGAACTAGGGCCAGCCGCCAGCGGACCGAGGGATTGGGTTTGACATGGTCCTGAGATCGGCCGGCAACGGCCATGACAAGGGGAACAATTCACAGTGACGACTGAGGACTGGCAGCGGCAGAGGGCCTTGGTCTGGTGTTTGTTGGAATGGAGATTGATCATTGTATGCTCGGAGGTCTCTTGCTGGCTGACCTCGTCTCAAAGGCGGCAAAAAGAGTCGAGAACCAAGACAGGGAATTCCAGCCATTCTGCCGATGGCGTGCAAACAAGGAACCTGAGGTGGGAGACCTGTCCGAGAATAGACAGAGACAAAGACGGCATCTGCATAGGTATGTAAGCGCAACAACATTGGTAGACAAGCCATGGGCGCAGCAACAGCCAAGAGTCAGGACCAACAAGAGCAACGAAACTGCTTGCGAAGTTATGGATAGCAACTTGCCTAGCTTTGTGCTTCTGAGGCAATCGTTCCAGAAGCAGGAGCAATATCTGTCTACCTTACTTACCTTACCTGGCTGCCTTACATCGCTCCGAACATATCGTCAATTCTAAGATGCGTGAAGTAAGGTGAGATGGATGACAAACATTCTGTTGCGATGCTGAGTGCCTTGTACGCTTGAAACACCGGGTCAAATACCTCTACAACTAACAGGGGAGGGGGGCCCCGCTTGATCGAATTAGAAGGGCTCCATCAATGGTTGCAGTCACTTACTGAGGTCGTTACAGAAGGTACTGCAGACTGCACACCTCCCTCCAAAGGCTCAGAGTCAGGTGACCGAGGCAGCAAGTCTCAAGGCAGCTAGGTACCTACGCAGTATGTACGCTTGCCAGTCGCTGAGGTCGACCATCGAGCGAATCTGGGAAGAGAGCACAGGCTCTAGAATCCCACTTTTCCTCACTTTGACCAGACCTGGAGCGCACGTGTTGCTTCTCCACTTTGCCATGGGACAGGTACGGAGTACTCCGTACCTTTGGCGTGGACATCTGCTGTGTATCCGTAAGACTAAGGTACCTTAGATGGTGGACGAAAGTAATCCAGGGTTGGCAATCCAAACATTTGAGGCCAAAATACTTCGAAGAAACAAGCAAAGCAGAGCAGAGACGGAGAAAGCAATGTCAAAGAAAGAACATGCCCCTATTTCAGTGTTGGCTGGTGATTTTGGCTGGACAAGGTCAGGCAGGTATGAAACCCTGGGTTGCTCGCTGTAGCCGCTCCCGAACCAACACACCGGCCAAGTGGCCCAGTGACGCTCGTCGTCCTGAGTGAGTGGAGGCCACTAAAGGAGGAGCCTGGCAAGCCTGGAACTTGGAAGCAAGGAGCGATCGAAGCAAAGTACCTTTTCTGCCAGCTGTCCACCTCAAGATACCTCTCTCTTACTACATATCTAAGGATAGGCACTTTGATGCGAGCGGCGAGCGGACCACAAACCCGCAACGAAAAAAGATACTGTTTTTATTTCTTTTCCTTGCTGCCATTCCGCCATCTCATTTCATCTTGTCGCTTGAGCGTTGCCCGCCTGCCTGATCCACTTTCCATGCTTAAGAGTCTAGACTTGAGATCCGGACGGCACCTACCTAGCCTGCTCGTGCCTGCTAGGTATTGATGAATCAATCGAGTCTGTTCTCGTTCAGTCGAGATTCCCGACATTGGGCCCTTGTTCTATGCTCTCATTGCCTCGATGACCTGTCGCCCACCCAGCGTTACGCTCAAGTCTCAAAGGAGAGGAGAGGGTGCTTTGATATCATCTACCTCGAATTATGACAAAGACGCAAACAAGCCCGGACCCAAGCCTGACCTGATCCACATAAGAAAGTAAGAAAGGCGAAGACGCCTTCTTCCCTCTTGTTTTCCCTCGCCGCTTTCACTACCTCGTTGCTTGAAGCCAACTTTATTCCCCGCAGCTTGGAAACCTTCCATTCTCTCCCACAATCCTTCCAGGTTACGTCTTTGGCACCTACTCGACATTCTTCCATGCCCGGCATTTTGCTGTGCGAACAATTGATAGAACCCTTCTTCATTCCTGCCTGTCACCATTTACCGCTCCCGAGGTAACTTGGCGGCGGGAGTATCTTTCCTCGATACTCCGTACATTACCTACCTACCTTAGTACCCAGCTTAACTTCCCTGACGTCCGGCCGCCGACAGTCGTCTCACCGCGTTATTGACCGACGCCTGCTTTTTCGGCTTGCCTTGCATCGCCCCCGTCGTTCCTTCCACTGCGGCATTGCTTCTGCGCTTTCATTCCATTCCGATCCGTTGCGGTGTGAGCAGCGGGCTTCTGTTGTGCCGTGCACCTACTAATTGGGTACCGTATTGCTTTACTCAAGGCCTCCCAAGGTTGGGTACCTACTTTGAGTAGATACTGAGAGTGGTACCTTATATTTGGTGTTTTGTAGTCGAATCTACAAGTACCTCCCGCCAGGTACTTTTTCTTCAGGGGTGCCCATCCACCTGGGGGCAGGCAGTGAAAACCTGGAACGAACCTCCCCGTGCTGTTTCTCCTCCGCGGTACTGAGGTACCTTCCATTACCTTCATTGCCCCCCAAAACCGACAAGGACCGCGCCGCATCACCAACGAGTCGCTCTTTCCGCCGTGGCCCGCGACACCCTATCCGTACGTACCTAAAGTTCCCAAGGCTCCTGCCCGCCCTCACACCCTCGCGGTTCGCCCTCCCCTCCCGCCTTGGTTGTCCACGGTGCTGCCACCAAAAAACTCCACCTCCACATCCACAGTACCCGCACCCGTAAGCCGTGCCTGCAACCTGCGACCTGCGACCGTAATCCCGCCCGCCACCTTCGAAATCCCCAACCCTCACTCACACCCGATTCCGATCCCAAACCTTACATTTCCTCTCCTCTTCGACACCTCCCCTCTCTTTTCCGACACTCTCACGACAAATACTCCCCGCCTCACATCGCACCTTGCAGCAGTCGAGATTTCGAACTAGACCGCATACCACGCGAGAGGCAATATGACGCCCTCGCCCGGTCCTCAGATCAATACCACGGAGGTGAGGCGGCCTCGCTCTAGCCAGACCGTCTCCTTCTCTGTCGACGAAGGCAATAATTCTATTCACGGATCCGACTCGACAAGCCTCCAGCTGGCCGTTTCTGAGTGCATAGAAACCACAACTACAACCACTACCACCACCACTAAGCGCACCTTTCCACCCGTCTACCTGCGCGAAGTTCGTCCTCTCCATGAACTCGACTCTAAGGAGTATCCTCTCGCCTCGAAGCCTCTACCCCCCGAACTCGCGAACTTCTCTTTCAGTGTCTCTGGCTCTTCTTCCGATGGCACGGTCGACAACCCTTTTGCTGCCAAAACCGTAAGCCCCCTCACGACTTCCCACCCTGTCTATCTTTTTTCTTTCTTTTTTTCTTTGCTCTTCTCCTTTCCTTGCCATCCATCGCATTTGCTGACAATGTCTATCTCAGCAGCGCAAAGCACCGATTGCAGCCGAAAGGCAGCCAGCAGGCCTCCTGAAAGATGACGAGTCGAGTCAAGAGCCCCCAAGACGCACATCAAAGTCGCCCTCAGATGCCAGCCAAAGAAAGTCTCGTCGTTCGAATCCCCGCGAAGCATCGCCGTCCTACAACGCGTCGCCAGTCCTGCCTTCGAGACCCTCCAGGAACCCCAGACCCACTGGGCTCTCCATACCCGAGGACGCTTCGCAACGTCTTAGACGCCAACTCACGAGGGGCAGACCGTCCGGCTACCTGGCCACTCCAGATACCTCCGAAGTCGCTGGTGCAAGCTCAGAGCGTGTGACGCGACCACGATCCCTTCACCCTCACCGCTCCAGTCATACTCCCCCAGAGTCGGGACCGAGTCAAACAAACTTGCAGGAAGCGGCCAGCCCCATCGGAAGCGATGCACTCACTGTCTTCAGCAGTAACGTTGCCACTCCGCCCATCACCGACGCTGACCCTGAGCCATTTGTTGATACCGACGAGTCGCTCCAACAATCTCTCAGAGCCGTTGGCCACAGACCCTCCATCGATGCCGTGGCTGCACAGGATGCAAGCCTGCCTAGTCCGAGACTTTCGCCTACCCTGGCAGCCGCTCAACTGAATTCGAGAGACTCCGATGACGAAGATGGAGAGTCACCCCAGAGCAGTGCTGTTGCCCGACGAAATGTCAGCTTCCGCAACCAGGCCTGGCTGCATGAATCACAGACGACCGAGGAGGGCGGCTACGCTTCCGACATGTCCATCGTTGTGGATGACAGCTCCTTCCAAGCGGACGACCTCGACGCCCACACCGCCATGCTCGACACCCGCAACATGATGGAAAGATTCGATGCCATGCCCAACGAGATGAAGAGCTTTTTGATGTATAATCTTCTCCGGCGATGCCCGAGAAAAACCCTTCGTCTTGTAGCCGATGTCGTCACCCCTGCGCTGAAGTGCGACTTCTTCAAACAGCTTCCTCTCGAGTTGAGCTTCCACGTCTTGTCGTTCCTCGATCACCGCGACTTGTGTCGAGCTGCGCAGGTCTCCAAGCATTGGCGAAATATCGTGGACACGAACGAAACTGGGTGGAAGGAGTTGTTCGATCGCGATGGTTTCACACTGCCTCCGGGTGAACTCGACAAGGCCATTATCCAGGGCTGGGGTTGGCAAGATCCCGTTGGAGTCACTGGGGCCGAGGTTGACTTGCGACCTCTGAGCAGACTGGACTCGGCCGACAACGAACTCACCAAATCCGTTGTCAAGACCGATTCGACGAGCAGGCTTCGCAGTTCCAAGCGAAAGAGGGCTCTCAACTTATCTAGCGCCGATAGATCGAAGCGTAGAGCTAGCGGCCAGGATGTAGCCCGGCTGGATGCGATACAGTCCGAGGTGAAGCAACACAAGTCCGAGGGACCACTTTCAGCAGCCAACGCGGCGGCCGCTGCTGTGCCCAATCCCAAGACCAGCATCCCGGGACTCCAGAAGTTGCATCTGTTCAAGTCCCTTTACCGACGCCATTACATGATTCGGCAAAGTTGGACGAGCGGCAAAGTCAAGCCTGGACACGTTGCTTTTGCTGCCCACCCCCGCCATGTCATAACATGCCTGCAATTCGATGAGGACAAAATCATCACCGGTAGCGACGATACCTTGATTCATGTCTACGACACCAATACCGGAAAGCTGCGGAAGAAGCTCGAAGGCCACGAAGGCGGTGTCTGGGCCTTGCAATACGAAGGGAACATGCTCGTCTCTGGATCTACCGATCGATCTGTTCGTGTCTGGGATATCGAGAAGGGTCTTTGCACACAGGTCTTCTATGGACACACTAGTACCGTTCGATGCCTGCAGATCCTTATGCCTACTGAGAACGGGAAGGGCCACGATGGAAAACCTATCATGATGCCGCCAAAGCCGCTCATCATTACGGGGTCCCGTGACAGTCAGCTTCGTGTCTGGCGCCTGCCTGAGGTCGGCTCTCGCAGATACATCCAGACTGGCCCTCCAGCCAATGATGCCGACTGTCCCTACTTCATCCGAACGCTTTCTGGACACACGCATTCTGTGCGTGCCATTTCTGCACACGGTGACACCC